TTGGTATGTTCTGCAAGATAATGGATAAAGCCTCCTCAAGCGATCCTTTGAGCATTAAAAAAGCAAAAGTTAGCAGTACGTTATGGTATCAACTAATACTTACTAAGGCTGACTTACCGACAACAGGTCCTACAATAGGTGATGCATTTTTTGGCCGATAGGTAAATGAGATCTGTTAGAGGATTTTCAGACATCGTTCAATAGATACTCGAAGTTATATACTGTACCTGCTTTAACGCGAAAAAAAGAGATCAGACCACATCGATATTTTGGAGTATAAGGAATGGAAAAATAAAAGGCACAAGTCAGTTTAATATCACTCAAACAAATAATAACCGAAATGGAATGAACGGAAGGTAAAATTTTTGTATATTTTTTTTACGCAATTTGTTCATTACCTTTCTCTCCACGTAACACTTCTTGATACAACACTTCCCATTTATCTCTCCTCTCTTCCAGCTTTTTCTTTTCACCTTCTAAGTCCTCCTTCTCTCTCTCGTATTCTTCTTTCTCTATTCCCCTCTTCAACTTGTTCAACCTCTCTCCCCACACCTTCTTCCACTCCTTGTACTCTTCTTTTGCTTCATTTAATTCGGCTTTAATTTCTTCGTGCGTTGTCATTTTTGATTTGTCATAGAACCAGTGTAAAATTAAATGTAGTTAGATTGCCTTATTTTTATAATATATTGTAAAAGTACGAAAACGGTTTGTAGGTTTATTATATACGTTTACAGCATAAGGTCACAGATTATTTTAAGACGCGTCATTGATCAAAATAATTATTAAACAATTTCTCTCAGATATTTAGGAGAGTTTTTTGAAAACTATTAAGATGCGTTTAAAATTTCGATTGAATGCGAGCCATTAGAAGAATCATGTGACCGGAAAACGAGCATCATATCCTTAATAAAAAGTCTGATCACGGCCAAGTTCACATTATTTGTTTAGTAAACGAAATATTTAACTAATAATCCAATTCATATTAACCTTAATACATCGAATATGGAATTCTTTTCAAAATGATAGATTTTGTAATCTTTTATATATAAATTTATTAAATAAAATATTTTATGACTTTTTTAATTAACAGCATTCATGTTTAATTCATTAATTAATGTTCCTTTTATCATAAAGATTTACTTATGGATGATGATATTGAAGAAGA